AAACGACGAAATCGACCAAATAACTGATAGAGAAAGTGCTTGGAAAGATTAAACATCCATGAATTGATTTGAAAATTGCCTTATCGCTCTAACCTATACACAGTTGAACTCAACGGAAACATCGATGATGAAATACACGAAAGTGTACAGACTTTTCACGGAAGCATATTATACGTATGTATCACAAATCGCTATACGATACCGTTATTTGTCATTGATCGATCGAATCAAAATTTTCTTCATCTTTGATCGTAGTGTTTCCAAGAGCGCGGGAAAAACTGACCTGTGATATAAGTTTCGGGAGCGTGTGGGTATGCGCGTGCGCATGATTATTGTGTCCTGCCGAAGAACGGTCGGTGTTGGGCCTTTGTTGTTGTTGCTGTTGCTGTTGCTGTTGCTGCTGTTGTTGTTGTTGCTGCTGCTGCTGTTGGCTGGCATCCGATCTGAGGTCGTGCCTCCATCTCAGTACACCCATCATAACCGTCTATCGTATCCTTGATTGGCTTCGAGGCTTTACCGAACACGAGTATCTTTTCAACCTTCGCACTACGGAAACCAGTTCGATCTCAACGCTCCGACCTAACCTAACGTGAATGTCCTGTTGCACCTTTACCAGGCTACACTGATCCCCGAGATGCTGGACGCTTCGGCGTCAGCGAAATAACAGAAATTCAACTCCGCGCAGAGAATACACGACACTGTCAGCTCTTTCCTACTTTACACGTAGACGCGGTGAAATATTATTTCCGTCTATTAACGTACATCGGCCTGTTTTATCGCAAATATAATGAAAATGTGAACAAACAAAATGCGTTTAAAAATGTAACTCGACTCGTTTAATCGTAATTTCGTAACGAGGATATACATTGGCAAACTGGTTCGTATTGAAAACGATACCGTGAGCACAAAGTTATTAGGAGACTTGTTTTGAAAACACGCGGGAAATAACAGCCAGAATCGCGTGTAACGCAGTGGCTTGCAAGCATAATACGTATACGCGTACCGCAGTCAGCGCCAGAAAATACGTGAATTTCTGCCTTTCTCTAACAACTTCGAGCCAACGCGTAACTCAACGTGCCGACCTCACTGACATTCTACCGTCGCGTCAGTGTACGAACACCACCAACCACTAACCACCAACCACCAACCACTGACCACTGACCATCAAGCACCGCGGAAAACTATTTAGGATCCCATTCGATCGTGGTTCGCTTCCAGCTCCGGTATACGATTGTTCATTTCGTCATTGAGATTCACCGTCATTCTCGTAATTTGATCCGACGATTATGCCGGGGCGATAACAACCAAGGATCGCACTTAACGCGGTGTGTGTCACTTTTTCACGACTACTTTGGCTCCTCTGTTCTCGTCGCCCACGTTTCGATCGGCAACCGAGCCGAGGTCGGAATAGAAAGTGTTTACACCGTGGGCGCGTTCGACGGAAAGGATCGCGCAGCAGACACGGATGAAACAGGCGCACGTAGCCACGCAAACACGTAGAATAAGAGCGAACGCGCGCACTACAGACGCTTCGACACGCACAAGTGCAGAAACACGACTGGCATCGAGACCGTAACCCGTAACGTAACCGTACGATTCGAGAGGCTTGCCTCGTCTGCTGTCCCTGCTTCCCCACCACCCCGCAAACCCCCACCAACCAACCACTCCTTACCCCCGCGCGACCCGATCGCTTCAACGTCCTGCTGTTCTTGGAGCTCTTGGAGCTCCCACCATCCTGCTGCTGTCGTACCGTGAACAAACGTTGCCATGGTCGCCATCGAGCGCGTAAACTCGATTCCACGGGAACTTGGATCACCTTTTTCTCCTCGCGATTAACGATCAATCAACGAGGTTTCGAGGTACCGTATTTTCAAATTAATTCTCGGGGAAAAAACCGTCGAACAACCTCGCAGCTCGGACTCGGAACAAATCCACGGTATGCTACGCTCATTTATGCCGCGACTAATTCCATTTCATTTTCGTACGCAGAGTCAATTCTGTCCAATATCTTTTTACCATAAGGTAACAAGAAACGCTGCCAATGAAATATTCAGGTTATAGGAACGCATCTGTCGTCTTTTGAAATATCGATTATTAATTTTACGCTATAATTATGTACTAGCATCCTCGTCTCGAGTTCGGAAATCCTCGAACGCGAAACGATACCGCGGGGGTTTTTCTTTATCCGTCAACAATCGTGCCTGTAATTCGTCCAACGTTTCGAATACTCACTCGCGATTGCTATAATTAGAGTGTGTTATTTGATCGAAAGTTTGGCAATGTAAGAGAGATCGATGGCGTTTAGGCGTTGGACTGTTTCTCTTACCTACAAAGTTTACGATAAATTATTTGCTCGACCTACTTTCAGTGGTCGAGTCCAAGACAATGATCGCTAAGAAAATTGCTATTTCAAACTGCTTCTATTTCGTTATTTATATTAAAGAATTTAATTTCACGCTATGCGAGTTACACTTGACACATCCACTTTCGAAAAGTCGCGAAACGAGGAACCAAGGTGAAAGGGTCGACGGAGAGGAGGAGAACGCATCCGGAGACGGTCGTAGCCGAGGAGCTTGGTCGTTTTCGGACGCAGGAAGTTGGGTAAAATAATGAAAGAGGTGGACACAAAGGAATGGGAAGCCGCGGTATCTACCTACCTAGCTACCGGCAGCGAAATAAGTCGACCACGAAATGACATCCGCTCTCCTGCTATCCTTCCTCTGCCCTGACAGCCTGTTTCCTCTTACTTAGTTTCACCTTCCTCCACCTGTCGTTACCTTTGTTACCTTCGTTACCTTCGGACACGAAAGAATTCGTACGAGTTAACAAAAGCAACCAGCCAGATCATGTGACCGTTTCGAACTTGGCATGCGAGACTAATTCTGACTTGGTGTACACAAATCGTTCCAATTCGTCGAATGTGTTTGCCCGGCGACATTAAATTGCGTTTCGCTTCTTCGACATCGATACTCTCGAGGGTAACTCTTTTTTTCGTCGAGTGATGTATCCAGCGTGGACGTTTCGATTATTCCACGACACGGGCAGGAGGTTCTTTTTTTGTCTTTCATGGCTCTGGAGATCGGTACAATTTTTATCCGTAGACAATGTCTAGAAAATAAATACGTTTGTTGAACTTTTTAAAGCACCATCTTGTATACGGTTAGCGACGAAAGAATTCGTATTTCTTCGACTGTACGCTTCGTGTTGGATAGTTGGATTATCGATCAAAAGGTACGCTCTGTTAACGCACTGCCAACCGATGGGGAACACCACCCTATTTGCGTTTATTACAGTTAGGAAAAGAGAATGTCAACCGAGAATATTCTCGGAAAAAATATTCGTGTACCGACAGATCGTGTGATTCAACGCGTCGCTTCTCACCGATGGTAATTCAAACTGTGCGCAGCTGCCTGTTATCTCGGATTTAAACAGTGTGCTCTATACTTATGGAAAGAAAAAAAAAAGAAAGAAAAAAAAACACCGAAATCCGATATCGATATCTATTCATTCCGGACGATGAAACTTTCGTTCAGTCGTAAGCAGATCTTCTCGAAACTGTGGAGAAACCGATAGAACATGAGTATACTTGTCAACCGGTTATTTCCGGAGAGAAACTTGAGCGTTCCACGGAAACGAAGAAGAAATTGGTGGACTCCCATGCGTCGAATCGTGAATTTAGCCTGTACGAAGTACGAATTTAAAAGAAATAAAAATAAAATACGAGTGTACCGTCCGTGGAGTATGGAATAAGAATTGTTTTGCTAGATACGATAACGCTTTCGCAACGTTCTCGAAGCGTAACGATGTCAAGTTCGACTTTTGTTTCGCGCCGGTTTCGGGGTCATTCCCACGTAGAAGCGAGGGTACGATAACCTGTTGTGTACTGCAGAGACGTCGGCGAACACGAATCTCCGATCTTCACGGACAACGAGCAACCCAGAAAATCAGAAAATCAGACAGTCTTCCTGGCTGTTCGGTTAAAATCACACCATCACGGTCGATCGTGGTGGTTCAACCGGCACTTCCGGTGCGCCTACCTGGCCGACCGGAAGCGTACGCCTCCCCCTTACATCCTGAGGATCGTATATGCACCTCGGTTTCACCGATAGCGTTGGCTCGTATTTCCAACTTTTCATTCAATGTCCGTGCATTTCCGTCAGTCAAATGTGAAGAAAATTCACCGACTCTGGTATATCGACAAATTTAATGTTTCTTCAAATTGTTTATTTGTTCAGTTTTATTTAGCTTTAACGAGTTGGCCGAAAACGTTTCACACGTCATCTACTTATTTTTATTGCAAATATACCTTTATTTCGCTATTCTATTTTTATTCTACTTTATACTTCTACTAGTATACTTTATTTATTCCTAAAAGAAATACTAAAAGAAATTGATCAAAGGACATTAACACAGACATGGATATCATAGACGACTGTGCATGCCGCAGCTGGTAAAGAATACTCCGTACCAACCGACGGGAGTATCGCAATGAAACAGCTGTCGGTACGTTGTCTCTGCCTCTCTTACTTATCGACATCACACCAAGAACGACGGATTCCTAATTTATCGATGCAAGTCCAACTAGAAAAACAGAAACATTCGCGAATCCAAGTTTCTCACGGTATCGTCGCACACGTGTTAGACACACGAGTACAAATGTCACATTTGGGTGGCAGACGTTGAAACGACAGAAAAACCCTACGATATCCTTGGCATTTTTGCCTTGGCGTAAAAAGACGCATCCGCATGTTTAGCTAACCATGCTTGTTTAGTTAATTTTCTGGTTAATTTCGATGATGATTCTACAGATTATCGCGGTACATTTTACAAATGATATAGATGTTTTACGACACGATGAGAGGCAATATCCTGACAACATCTTGGAAGCACACGGGCGCCGTTATCGCGTGAATTCTATTCAAACTCTCGAAAAGTATAGAATTCAATTCCATTTCATTCCATAGAATGGAAACGGAGCATCGGAGGAATGTGTCTCTTACCTGGGAGAAGTACGGCGGTAAGACGCATCGTTGATCATCGAGGCGCGAACTCTGCACCCTCTCGAGTAATTCGAATAAATCTTGCGTGGTGCTCTGCAACAGGAAAACCCAGTAACGACTCGTTGCTCCGAGTACATATGTTCTGTTCGATTCAAAATACTTGTCATACGCGATTAATAAGGAATATCTTTGTACCCGTCACGGTCTGCGCAAGCATTTTAACGCTGTTCGCTATATTTGTCGAATACTCTTTAAAGATATAGGTAATACTCACTTTAATTTTTTCCGAGTTGGCACCTTGAACGTCTTCTTGCCTTTCATCTTCGACAGCGTTACGCCGAGATTCCGGCTCACAGTACACGGACTGTTCGAGTTGTTGCCTCCTGAAAGAGTGAAAAACATTTGTCGGATTAGGCGTTTATCGGTGATTACGTTTCGAATATTTGTTTACAATTAGTTTGGGAAACCAGTGAAAAATTGGACCCGCGAGTATCGTAAAACGTTCAACAATCGTCCAAGAGAAAATCATTGTTAACGGTACGGATCTCCGCGAAAGATCCGCAGATTTGATAACAACGCGAACGCGTAGCTAGGCGATCGACGCGACGGCTATGATTGCGAAAGAAGGTCGAACGACCGAGAAAGCGGATAACCAGCCAGACAAGGCAAATCGGCGGGCTTCTAAAACGAACTGCAATCTTTCTGCGACTGACATTTATCGTCGTATCTGTCGATAATCGCGCATTCCTCTTCGTCGAGCGCCATAAAGGACCGATGGCGCGGCCCGAGTCACGGGGTGTCGCTCCATAGCTGGTCCGATACTTGCAATCGGGACGGTTCCAGAAAAAACTACAGGGAAAAGTAAACGTCCCGGTAGTTATTTCCCACCGACAGAAATACTTTTTCGCTTCTTTGCCAGCGATCAACGTATTTCACTCACAGTCACGCTCCTCTTTTTTTTTCTTTCTTTTTATTTTATTTCATTTTTAATATCGGCGCTCGTCCTCCAGAATTTCCTTTGTCAATTTCACGAATAAGATTTCTACGGAAATTCTTTATCTTCATTTGGATAACGTAATTCGTATTCTCCATCGCAAACGCTGATAATTACGTATAAACTTACCTACGTTTTATCGCGATAACATGTTTACCAGACGGCTAGGTACTCGCTAATGCAAAATACTTGGTTGTCCTGTGGGAAAAAAAGTCCGAACTTGTCGCGTTTTCAGAAAAGGAACAAAAGGCGGAAAAACGTTTCGCTCTTGTACGCGATCATGACTTAATTTCTTGGAATTATCCCCGATCGTAACGTAAAGCATGAGGCACGATACGTATCGCCGTATAATGCTTGCCTCCTGTCGATACAGAAGATCTGTCGGCAATTAGTTTGAAATTACGATGCACGTCGTTTATGCGAGACGGATGAACAGCAATGATCGCGTTTTCGATGTAGCTCGTTCGACTCGTTGCGAACGACATCGATCAAAACGAGCAGGCATAATAACAGTCGTTAGCCGGATAGTAAAACTAATCAAAATGCGACACGGGATACAGTTACGCTCGGTACTCGTCGATTTGGCCGATCCGTTCGTCGTTCCTAAGACAAATCGATTAATTCCACTTTTCGAAGATCGTTTGTAGGAAAGACTGGCATAATTGATACATTCAGTACACGCCAAGATAATTTGTTAATTTCGAAAGTGGTCGGAATCTGTATCTGGCCGCTATCGTTCGGTTTATCGATAATTGCGCATTCCTTTTCGTCAGCTACCGTAAACGATCAGCGTGCCTGGATACCGTGGTATTTTACAACATGTTACTTTACTATCATACGCGGTTGTAAATTAAAGTACACTGGACTAAATACCGAATCTTATCCTGGACCAATCCTCGCGTCGGTTAAGATGTGCTGTTGGACCGTTGGGCCAGCGATATACACCACTCATGCCTCAAGTTTCGACCTTTATTACAATTTTCAATTTACATCGGTCTCCTTTTTCGAAACAATTTGCAGCAGAATCGGGCAGTTCCGAATCCACCAAATAGTTGCAATCGTTTAAGAAACAAAAAACGTTAGAATCTTGTATTTCAAAAGAACATGGTTCGCGTTCGAAACCCTTTCTTCTTTCAGTTTTAATCGCGTATAAACCAGAAAGAACAACGGAGGGCGCTTGGGAGAGACGAGGGACGTTACGGGATAGCGCCTGTTCCCATAGGAATCGGGTTTCTACGGGAGCTGCACGTGCAGTCGTCTCGTGAAATAAAAGGACGGGTTCAATTAAACGAGTTAATTTAATAAGCCCCTGTGACGAGTCGGCAGAGCTGCCCGACTGGACGCAACGGAACGAACAAAAAGAAAATTAATCCACGCTAGGCTGACTTTTCTAATAGATTTCTCATTTTCAAGCGCGTTCTGGAAACAATTGGAGCGATGCGAAACGCCACAGCCAACGGTTCGTTACGATTCCATAAATCAATTGCAGCTCGCAACAGAATTTTATCTCGTGAAAGTTATCGCAACGCCCGCACGACAGTTACAGTTACTTATTTTCATGTTTACTGTTGACTGACGGATAGACAGATGCGTTAGGAGAGGACGCACCCTCGTAACGTCATACACGTATATGAATATGTTGATGCATATCAGTGTTTGGGTCTCTGCTAGCTAGTTTGACGATGAATTACAAAGCGTTTCGAACACAGTAAGGCGGTCAACGACAATTTACAGTCGATAATTTGAAATTATCCGTATCCCGAAAAATCTCTTCTTCTTCCGTTTCATCTGTACATAAGTCCGTCCCAAGTCTTCCACCAAGGTACAAAGGCATCAAGAGTACAAAACAAATAACGAATTTTAATGCTCAGCTTCGTAATGCGAATCGTGGGATATACATATGTATACACCTACTATGTACGTGTACGTTCATCCCGGTTCAATTGGATCCGCAAATATTTGCTTTGTATGAAACGCATCGGCATTGATCGATCACCGAAACAGTCCGCGTCCTTACAAGTCACAACGATCGCTCTCTTTTCCCTCGATCGATCGCAACAACTTCATTACGATGCATGGAGAATCGACGAATTGGTAGAGTCATGCATCAACGCCATCGGGCGTTACCCATTTTGATTTATGGGACGCGTGTTCCCCGATATTAAGGGGGGATCGTGTACTCTTGGACATTCGAACAATTATTCTCTCATTTCCTCTATTTTTCATTTTCACGTATTTCTGTACCGGTAGATTGAATTGTAACGACTGATGGAAGATGGAAGGTGGTATCAGTTTGTCGTTACTGTCGTTATGACGTTTACCAGAGATGTCGTAGGGTTAAGGACACTGCTTCTGCAGCGAGGAATTGGTCGATGGATCCCAAGGTAAACGGCCCCCTATCGTCGTCTCTTGAAAATAGCGCGCGATTCTTGCGTAATTTTCGCGACGGCGACGGCGACGCCCACGTGCTCGACATTGAGAAGGCTCGTGAAATCACCCAGTTCGGCCACACGCTACTTCTATTTTGCATTTACCGGTACGGGGACCGATTCCTCGAATAAACATGAAAATATATCGGCCGGTACGTTGGACATTTTGACGGCGTTCACGATACGTACTTTGCTTCTCGATCTTCGCTCGAATCCAGATGCGTAGATACCGCACGATTATATTTCTAACGTATTCGAATTCCATGGGGCGCGATACGCGGAATATTCGTGGGAGAAAACTCGCCTTGTAAGCCGTGCGCTTGAATCTAACAATGTAAACCTGGGTAGAAATTGTTCGAAAAGCGAAAGGAAAGATATAACAAGTGTTGAAGAAAATATTCGCTTCCCGATATTTTCCATAAACTTTATATTTTTCTTAATCGAACTCGATATTTGAATGCGATGTATACTTGGATCGCTTAACCGTTCGTCGTGTACAAACTTCTAAAACGAAGTAAAAATTGTCAAGCGCCTGAATCTTGTAGTCGTTCGGTGCAATTTTTGTTAGAATCGCGAACAAAAATTCAGCCCCTAGCGGGTCGATTACTCGAACGGATGCAACACGTGGCACGGTAGGGGCAATAGATGGTCCAGTGGCGGAGAAACATGTCAGCCTGATTTATTTATCTTAAAACGATTAAACAAGGATGAACATTCTCTTGGAGAATTGCTTGTTCGGCGTCGGCGTCGGCGACGGCGCGCGCCGTATGTTTGGACAGAGGGTACCACGAAGAACGAAAGAGAAATAATAAACAGTGGCTCTCGTAATTTTGGGGGTTCGACCGCTCGAGGGGTTGACAACGACGTGATATATGCGTAACTCCACACTCGTAGCATATGTCGCTTGCTCGTATATAGCCGCGTGCCTTTAATCTACGCGAGAAAAATATATGAGAGCGAGAGAGTTCGATGCCAGTTCGTCGCCTCTATCCACCGTGTGTAGTCTTTCCGGGCTCATCGTTGCATTTGCATAGTCCATATTTCTTTCTTGGTTACCATTATTACGAGTATTTCGGCATTGTTCAACGAGCATAATGCCGCCTGTTGGCATCCCGTTGACATTTGCATTTCGACAAAGAGACCATTCACGCCTCTTGATGTCACCCTCGAAATACCTTCTCCAGTTCGAGAGAAGGTACGCGGATCCTTCGGTCCCTGACAATCCTGCACACCGAAGGTAAAAATTCAAGCCCCGGCAGGAGAGCGTAACGCAGACTTAATTAAAGCCCGAACAACGCACGAGTGAAGCGAATCCACGTGACAAGACTGAAGGCATACGCTCGGTCTGTTATGACAGACGTCGTAAACAGGAGAGGCATTGGCATGCAACTCGAAGAGGCCAACGCTATACTCGGACCAAAATCTTATTAGGCGTGTTTCCAAACCAGATTGACGTCCGGAACACGAAGCGAAGGCCGCGACGATGGCGCACGGTATGGATTACGTATCTCTGCTCTCTATCGAGATAAAATCATCCGCTCGTGCCGTTTACACGTGTTGTCGATATACGAACGTACGGATACACGTGCTCGAGGGCCTTGCACGCCGTTTTAGTTTCACAGTTTGCCCAGCTACATACAACATCAACGCAACGCAACCCGCGATTCCTGCGAGTAGTTGAACACGCTTCTCGATCGCCGGACACGCAATAACGAGCCCCGCAACGGAACGTCCATATGCCGTAGCTATGATTCAACCTAGAATATATTATTGTACTTGAAGGAATTTCATGTAGCGATAGCGAGTTCGGTATCGTGTTGCGCCACGTTCGGCTTACGAGTCTAATAAGAGATCAGCACGACTTTGCAGAGATCGAACGTTGAGTCATAACTTGGCCCGCTTAACAGATTTCCATTGATATGTTGGTGGAATCGTTTCGTTTTCGTGCATCGTCATCGAT